GGTCTTTTCTAAGGTTTGGCGCATGGTGAAAATCTGGTCGGTTGTTGATTTGCCGGGTCTAAAGCCACACTGATAAGGTCCAATCAGTTTGTTGACGGTGGGCTTTAATCTTTCACACAATACGCTCGATAGAACCTTATATGCTATGTTGAGGAGGCTTATCCCACGGTAGTTGGCGCAGATTGTGGCGTCTCCTTTTTTGAGGATTGGGCATAGCACACTTAAATTCCAATCGTTGGGCATGCTTTCGTCCGACCATATTTTAGAAAGAAGCTGATGCATGCTCCTTATCAGTTCTTTGCCGCCGTGTTTGAATAGCTCGGCCGGCAATCCATCGGCCCCGCCGCTTTGTTCAAGAATAAGGTTTACAATTTGTTATTTGTTCATACTGTTCAAGTGCCAATAAGAGAAAGAGCCTCTCGGAGTAATGCAGATATCAAGACGTTCTCATAAATTGGGATTGTCTCAAACAACAACCTTGCGGATTTTGAGAAGGTAATAAAGTGTTCTCCACTCAATAACTGAAGCCATTGGCCCACCATGAATGTCGTAAATTTTCTGATTTCGCCTTGCAATATTTTCCATTTATTTTCTAACTAACGATTTTTAAGAGAATAATCTTCTCCGATGAGGCTCACTTCTATTCACTTTAGTGGTGCGGTAAAACAGTCGATTCTGATTTGAAGAAAATCTAAAAGTTATTCATGAATAAGCATTACATTAACCTTGACACTTTGTTGTGGTTTTTGATCTAGGAGAATCATCGGTCTGTACTTTTAAAATGAGGCTGGTGCCATTGGAGTGTGGTATAGATCAATGATAAACCACTTTTTATAGCCCCAATTGGAAGCAGTTGAGCTGATTCCAACAAAACAAAACGGGGAAAAATTTGGAGATTCGATTATTTAAAAGAAATATGACATTAAATGGCCTCCAAGAAGTTGTTATTTAAAATCTTGTGGGGTTATTTGAAGTCATTGGCCTTAAGCAATAAACCTGGAACTCTTCACGCTTTAGAAGTCAATAATGGACGTGCGATCCATGGCATACGACTTTTTTTAGTGGGAAAAGTATTCGAAAGTTAGGTTCACCGAATTCGTTCCTGCAAAAAAAGTCGTCAGCCCATTTGAATGTTGTTATATTCAGAACTTGACACAATGCTCTGGACGCTGAAGTTATGGAGAGACTGTGAAAGTTGGGAAACCGATTCGCCATTCAAAGACTATGAAATAGATGTTCCATTGCCCGAGTATTAAGAGATTCGAATATTGTCGGTCGAGCTATTCAAATACCTCGGCGAAGAGCTCACAAGGTCAGCTTCTTTCAGGATGTGATATGCTTCGAATACCATAAACATAATAGAGGAAATTACCTACCAACCCGATTGAGAACTTGTAGAGTGACCTTAGAAGGAGATTGACAGCCTTTTCATTTCAAAATACGGAGCGACTGTGGCGGAAAGAAAATGAACTTTGGGATCATAACCCATTGGAAACTTGTCAAAAATTAATTCAGTCCATGGGAATAGCATTGGAAAACGTATGAAAAACCCCAGAGAGTATACAGTTTATTAAAACTACGGATTAAAAAATTTAATTTTTTGTTTTTATTTAGAAAAAAAAAATTTACATCTATTTATTTTGACCAATGCAAACTTTATCAAATATGTTCTATACTTGACTTTTACAATTTAGATAATGTAAACTGAGCTTGTATGATATTATATAGTATTCAATCATATTTGTATGTACATATGTACACGTAAAAAAATGTGCCTCTGTTAGGTAAACGTTTCGCCGTTGATACATATGTATGTAGGTATGTCATAAAACCAATTGTTGCTTATACGTGTATGCGGCACTTAATCGCGTATCTACCCAACGGTAAAAATATCTTATTTGTAAAAGTGTATACAAACACTTACATTCAACTATAACTACCTTGAGTTTGGTGTCGTCTACTCACCTCAATATTGTTCAATTTGATTTTGTTTCTCCTAGCGTATTGTATCCCAGCCAGCCAACTTGCCACCTTGCCACGCGCCAACTTGTTGCTGTTACAATTGGCATCTGCATCCGTCACTGTGGCTGCTGCATTGATAATAAATTGCTTTTATACACACTTACGTTTATGTTTCTTTCCGCGTGTGTCACTGTATGAGTGAGTACATGTAGAATTGAGTGAGTATATGGAAATGTGGCTGACAGAAGTGTGTCTCAACTTAACAACAGTTGAATTAATTTGAATTGAATTGCGTCAAATCATTGAGGCGGGACGCTCAGCATGAGGCGAAATTTCTGTTGATAAGTTGTTTGCAGAATTTCACTTACTGACGTCAGTCTAATCATTTGTCGACCGCTGAATTGTTGATAGGAAAGTTAAATGAAAATTTTACGTCAACTAAGTATCAGTGTACGTAGATTATAGCACTGTTGTGGGCAATAACCCATGCCGAATTTCATGGAGATATCGTGTCAAATAAAAAATCACACAAAATCTTAGAAAGGACGTGCGCAAAATTTCAGATTAATGTCTCCAAAATTAAGAAAGTAGTTCACGTGTATACAGACGAAAAGACTGGCTAAATAGACTCCGCTCGTCACGCTGATCGTTTATATGTATATATCTCCGACGTTTTCTTCCGGATGTTACAAATTTCATATGTGTGCATAAGTAAACAATGTTCAGGTTATAAAAGGATTAATTAAAAAAAAGAAAAAAACATTTTATGGTTCATGAATATTTATAAGGTCATTTGTATTGTTAACCTTGATAATTAGTACTTGTTTAAATAAAATTCGAGGAACGTAACCTTTTTGTGTTACAAAAGTATAGCAAAACCATCTTATCAAATTTGACACGGAGTGACAAAAAAACAAAATTTTTACGTATTTTAACGCAAATATTTATTATCGCCTTCATTTTCAAATTAGGCTTCTGAGTTCATTGAACCATACAGACGTTTAATAAGCCTTGGTCCGCTTTCGAGTATTTTGGTTAATTTTTGGAATATCATTCCCTAAATTGTTGCACAGTTTCCACGTCCTATTCAAAAATACACGTTTCGTCCTCAGTGATGATGCGTTTGATTAATGTAGGCTCCTCGGCTGCGTCAACCATTTCTTTTGTGCCGTCTAATCTACATATGTCTTTTTTGCAAGAGATTAATGTCTTTTCGTTGCATTGTCTTGCATTAACACGTTTCATATCCAAAAGAAAACCAAAATGCGTTTAGTCGATACATACTCATAGTAAAAATCGTTAGAATCGAGTCATAAGCTAACAGCTGTCAAACACACTTTAAATGATATACTATATGTATGTAAATCTAACTTCACATTTGAAATAGACCAGGCCGGGCCAAATTGGTAATTAAAAACAAATTTGGGAAAAGCTTTCGCTTTGAGGGTCTTTGATCTGGATCGCTGGGGCGGATTTCATCGTTTTCCTTGAAAACGGCAAATGACACTGCTAAATGGTATTTTCTTTCTTTTCAAATAAGTTCGGTTTTCTACGATTTCACTCTTCATATATGGTGATAACGGTACATAATTCTCTTTGTCGATAGTCGATGCCGAATAAAACGTCTCGTATACTGACTTATGGGGAATAAAGTAAAAAATGGTATCTATGGATTGGAGACCTATACGACTTCTAAAGCCAAAGTTTAAATAAGAATCAACCCATTTGTGGGAGTGTTGAGTATTAATTGTCATATACATATACCAGATAAATTTCTGCAGAGCGTTAAAGGACAAGAATAGTAGATTTAATCCAGTTATTTATATAAAATTTAACTCAAGTAATGCATTTCACAAACAATATGTGTCGTCTTCTTAACATACTATAAATATGTAACCCTACATACACAAATATTATTTATTTATTTATATGATACGAAAAACCGTTGAGAGAACAAAATAAGAATACTGCATGCAGCATATGCAGTGAGTATCATGTGCGAAACACAATGCTCGCGACAGACTGCAGCAGCACGACAGTGAACTGAAAATGGCGTTGTGAATCCTACTACATAAACGTTTGTGAGAGGGCACCAACATAACAATGGCCGGCATGTACACAAAATAACGCAGTTGTSCATTTTGCATGTACACAATTTTAATATTTTGTTCAAAGTGAAATTTTTAAGCAAAAAATAAGTAAAGAGGTAAATTTTTTTTTGTTTTAAATTATCAATTGTTATTATAAATGATGTAACAGAGCTATTTTATGCTTTTATTTGTAAAAYAACGTCAGGTTTGTTAGAGCTTTGAGTAATTTTACATATTTGTGGCATCACCACTCTAACTCATCTCTCTATCTTCCATTCTACTGTCAACTCTACTGTCGTCCTACTGTCGTTGGCAAATATAGGATCAAATTGAAGTTAGCGAGGACGACAACTGTCGGCCTGCAGTCGTGTAGTCGTGTAGTCGTGCAGCTGTCAAAATAGGTCCGTCCATATGAACGTGTGTATTTTAATATTTGACAGATGTCGTTTGCAGTCTGTCGCGAGCATTGTATTCAACACATAAAGCAACCCCGCAAGTTAAATAACTACTTTAAGTGACTTTAGACCAAATAGACAAAAGTACTCGAAACTAATAGGTTATACATACATACATATACATTAATTGTATGTGAGTCTCACAACTTGCTTGGTATATAAGTCATTTAAAAATTATTAACATTTGTCTCTCTGTGGTTTTGAATTGTGATACCAGATGAGATACATTCAAAAATAAATCTTATTAGAAAAATTATGAAAGAATTCGCCATAAAGGAATATATTCATATTAGATACTAATATTATTTATTTAATATCTTTAACAATATTTTTTTTTATATGTATGCATGTGTGTAAAGAAAGTTGGCAATTAAAATGAATAAAAACATAACAGCTGATTGTATATGTGATTTTTAACATTCCTTCAGTCTGGCAGGTATGGTACTGTCAGTATCACTGTCATTGTAAAATTTTATCAGTCGTCTATGAAATTTGTTGTTATTCGGTAATAATAATTTAATGCGCTTATTTGCTAAGTCAATGAATAAATAAAAGCATTACCTTAGCTGCATAGCTGCAGCTGGATACAATTAAAGGTACGGAAAAACATCCGGAAGAGCAAACCGTGTGCTGTGGAAAAAGGTTAATTAGAAATTGAAAGTTTTCGGGGTGAAAGTGTGTGTTAAAAATTAATAGTTCAGAAGTGAAAAATAATTTGCATACGTTCCATAGCAGCCAAGTTATAAAATTGTTGTATATCTGTATAACTTGAATTCCCACAAATATCTGTTTATTTAACAAAGGCGTTATATCTTCACACAATTTATGGCGAATTTGCAAAGTCTCTATAATACAAAAGATTTTGTCAAATTTGCGTTGTAACACTCGAGTTACAGGTGAGTTTCCGATTGGGCTTACCTAATAAATCAATTATTTGCAAGGCTATTGCGAGTACGAGGCAAATTTATGATGTAGACTTCATAAATGTATGTATGTTTATCCTTCATCTCAACCCTTTTTATATAAACATCAGCTTAAGCATGTTCCATGCTGCACCACTATTTGTGGTTATATGGGCATATTAACATTTTTGGATTTTTTTTAGAAGGCATTAAATCTAACAGTGCCACATCATTACCGGTGATTACATTTCGTTGTCTGTTCCCATCAAATTGGTTCTACGTAGCCGCATAGTTTCATTAGATTTCGTATGCCATACCTCCTTTTGGAAATACAGTTTTTAGTCTTTCATATTCTACGCTTTCATCGGTTGGTGAAGACAACATTTATTATTATTCGTTGAATACTAACAATTGAAGTCAACATTTATTTTTGTTATTGACATGTATATATATTGACATATATATTTGTACTGTTATTTTCCGGTACAAAGTTGGTATGTTCGTGTGTGTCCATAATATACGTAACTAAAAAACAATAAATAAATAAAGGTAAAATGTGATAACAAAATATATTGTGCTTTTATTCGTATATTCTACTGAGAATCACTTATTTACTAAAATATACAGTGGCAGACAAAAGTCTACATAGACCCCCTGTTTTATTGCATATGAAAGTACAAAATCTTTTTAGAAAAATGTGTTGATACAGTTTTATTCTTATCTATCTAATAACATTAAACTTAAAAAATCCACTACCTAATATAAAACCACATAATTATGGAGGAAAAACTCAAAAATTATATTGACAAAAGTCTACATACAGTAAAAAAATATCTTATTTCAGTGTGAAAACTTTACGAAATGGTAGTTATTAAGACGTTTTAGTATTTAGTTGGGCACCCATTGGCATCTACATTTGCTTGAAGACGCCGTGGCATTGATTCTGCTAAATTTGTCAATTATGCAGAAGTTATGCTGTTCCAAGCTCTTTGAGTATAGCAGAGCTAGAAAACTGGTGATTTTAAATTTTACGCTCCAAAATTTCCCAGACATGTTCAATAATATTCAAATCTAGACTTTGAGGTGGAGTGTTTAATTGCCTTGGAGCATAAAAAAGCAATCAGTCCTTAACAATTTGCGCCGTATGCTTCGGATCGTTATTTTGTTGAAAGATTCAACTGGAACCGAGCAACAAATTATCCACCGAAGGTTTCAAATTATGTTCAAACAGAGACTTATACTTAAAACGATCCATTTTACCTTCAATAAAGGCTAACTTTCCAACTCCAGAGGCCGCAACAGCTCCCGAAACCATTACGCTGCCGCCACCGTGTTTCTCCAAACTCTAGCTCTTCCATCGCTACCAAAAATGTTGAATTTAGATTGATCCGTAAATAAAACTTTTTCCCAAAAATCCATCACCTTGTCTTTGTGTTTTTTTGGCGAATTCTAAACGAAGTTTCCGGTTTTTTTCAGAAATAAGTAGTTTCTTCCGTAGTGTTCTACTGTGGAACCCATTTTCGTTTAGAGTTCTGTGTATTGTTCTTGGATGGAAACTCTTTTGTGACGTACTTGCTATGTGCTCGGCTAATTTTGGAGCATTTACTTTTGGATTTTTGCCTACTTCTTTCAGGATCAGACTGATGTCTCTACGAGATAGTTTTCTTGGGCGGCCACTGCGTGGTTTATTTTCGGTGGAACCACTATTTTTGAAGTGTTTTACGATTGTTTGTACTGTTGCTCGACTCAAGTTTCAAATTTTATAAATTTCACCGTATGATTTTTTTCTTTACTTTGCTTTATCACCAAATTTCTTACATCAATTGATATTTCTTTTCGCGGAGCCATGATACCTATTCAACTGTTCAAACCACAACTGCATTCAATAAATACTAAACAGTAAACATAATGAAATGAAAGAAAAAGGCCGTTATCATAACAATCACAAAGTATGAGCATCGTACTGTATGTAGACTTTTGTCAACGTAATTTTTGAGTTTAAATTTGTTGTTTTATTTTAAATAATGATTGTTTTTAGTTTATTGTTATTAGAATAAAACTGTATCAATACATTTTTCTAAAAAGAATTTTCTATTCTTATATCAATAAAAATGGGGGTGTATGTAGACTTTTGCCCGCCACTGTATATAAACAACACAAAGAAAAAGTAATAACACTCGAACTAAAAGAGATTAACCACTTATACTTAATTTCATATGCATTATTTGTTTTGAACATTTAAAAGGTTGAAAACATTCACACTGTGGAAAACGAGCGAACGATCAATGCAATTAAGTTACTTCGTAATGATCTTTGTCGGTTCAAAGATTTATATATTGAAACACATTTATTTTCAATTAAATTACATATTGAACATGTAATAAACTAGCTTTAAACATCTATATTGATTACATATTAGATACAAGTTTTTAGCTTTTTATTAGCACATCTGCTGTATCTGTTGGATGAATTGTTTTATAAGTAGAGTAAGTGTGCCAGTGACCAGATACCGCCCAGTAATCGGACCCTACTCACATTTTGTATTTAAGCTAAGAAAACTTTAAAACTGACATGTTTAGGAGAAACTCAATAAATATATTTTGCTGATCGCGAAGGTAAAAAGCTATTATTTTGATAGTGACATTGTGATTTTTGAATCTCCTTTTTCCCTTTTCAACTATCGGAATCTATCCGCTGTTCTTTTGCATTTTCCGAAAATCAGAGAGGAGGAGTGCAAGTTAAATAAAAAAATAGTTCGGCAGTCTGTTGTGATTACAACATCTCGACGTCGAAACCTTCCTTATGTCTATCACAACATGATGTTGTTGTTGTTGTAACGGCAGAACTCGGCCGAGTTGACAGTCCTTGGCCGGATAAAAATCCGGGTCCGTTCCGGTTTTCGTAGACCCGACTATCGTGGGAACGGCACTTTTTATCTCAACATGATCGATCTGGTTGATGGCTTTTCGGTCCGGAAACGGCCAGGTACCTTGATGAATTTTCCTATGCTGAAATCTAGTACTACAGATAACCATATTTCGGGTCCCGAAGTCAATAAGATACTTTTTTTTTTGCCAACCCTTGCGTTAAAGTCGCCAAGCACGATTTTGACATCGCGACGAGGGCAGCTTTCATACGAGCATAGAAGACACCTTTGGTCACTTTATTCATATCTTCCGCTGGGACTTTGGCGCAAATCAGCAATTTGTTTAAGAACTCCGCTTTGATGCGAATTTTGGCTAGACATCCACCTGAATGTCAGTATTCAGCGACGGAGTTTCTCCTCCACGACGAATCCCACATCGAATTTGCGCTTCTTTATATGGTCACTGTAGTAAATGCTATAAGGACCTACTCATCTTAGTCCATGTCCATTGATGTCAACCTTTCCTCTTACAAGGACATCAACCAGCTGGGCAGTGGCTCCTTCCCAATTAAAGGACCGGACATTCTCTGTGCATGGCCATAAATCGAAATCTTTAATACGTCTTCAGTGGTCATCAAAAGGGTAGAAAAGACCAAATTTTCTTTATATGTCCAAAAATGGGAAAAGTTATTGCACTGAAAGGTTACAAAAAAACCTACCAAATATCGTTACAAAGAACACCATAACAGTATTAATTGTTATTTTCCCTGGTGTCACTATGCTTCTGTTTGAGCTCTATTATATTTAATTTCAAAATACAGTTGAACGTCCCTAACTCGAAACACCATAATCCATAAAAAAAATTTCGAGTTAGAGAAACTTCTAGTTATGGAACTAAGTTTTTATGGAATTTCTGCTCACTAGCATTTACCCTATATATAGTACATGCATATATATAATTCAATGCAATCAAAAATTTGTAAGGTGCCATGAAAACTACATTAAATTCGATTTATTTTTTTTTTTTATTAAATTAAGAGAAATATTTTATGTTTTAAACATTTTTTCTTTTTTTAGTCATCGAGCTATTACAAATAATAGCAATCTCCAAAGTTCCAAAATAACGGAGACAAAAGGTGACTAAACCGTGAGATACCTGAAAATATGCGCTTCAATAAGCATGGTTTAGCGACATTAGCCACAAACCCTACAATAAAATTTGAAAAGGAAGGACTTTTGATAATAACAGAACGTCAAGAGGGGTTTTTTCGCCGTGCAGATGGTAAGATAAAAAATGTATGCTATTGTTTATATAACCATATGCAAATGTATGTACATATAAATATATACATATATATGGTTTTTAATTATTGCCTCTGTAAAAAGTGTATATCAAAAGTTTGGGATATATTAACTATTGGTTAATAAGTACACATTTTATTAAAAAAAAAATTTTGGCGCGAAATTTTAGCCAATTATTCATATGTATTATTAGTATGTGAAAAACCAGGCCAATTTAAAATCTCTAAATACACCATTTGTTTAATAGTAGGGACAGGCAACAAATACTACTTAATTTTTCTTGCGCGGCTTAATTATGTATTTATTTATAATAAAAATGCATGGTATATAAAAAATAAATATATAACTATTTACGTTTAAATATATAATTTTCTCTTTTTGGTGATTAAATATACATAAGAATGTGTACTATATACTCAATAATTGACAAACAAATCAATTAATGTGTGTATTGTATGCAAACAATAGTTCCTAAAGAAAATTAACTAAATTTTATGATCTTATTTCACTTCAAAATAGTTTAAAAAATACTTGCCTTAAGAAAATTATGTTCCCTTTGTATTATGTATACATATATATTTATATGTATTAAAATAATTTTTTCACATTATTTTAACCATATACATATGTTTTTTTCTCATATTTAACAGGAGTAATACCAAATACCATATATAAACGAATACCTTTACACAAAACCATGTTATATCTTTTGTAACAAATATAAAGATAGGTAAAGAATTTATTTTTATCACACCTAAAGCACAAAACTTATCCGTAGCAAGGCATATAATATTCATAAATACATATGTTTATTCTAGCGCTGCACAGTTTAAACGAATTATTTACTTCTGCATTCTGTAAAATACTTACTCACTTTCACACGTTTTAATGGGAAATTTGGTTTTGGGCTATTCAAAGAGCATAATTTCAATAAATAATCAATAAGATTTCACTATCCAAACTTAAAAAGTTTTAAATTGCTTTCAACCCGACATTTTTAAGTAAACTTTTCGATGGTATATTTTCTTATTCATACTTTCTAGTAAATTACCCGCGTTGGTGTAAGTTGCGAGGTAATTTGTTATTCTACCTAAAGGATCACGAAGCTCAGTCACCACCAGCTGGTTTACTCGTGCTTGAAAACTGTCGACCATTGATACGAAATGAAGAGCGCGAATTTGACGGTTTCGCATTCATTTTAGGTAAGCATTTGTCAGAACTGAAGAAATACGCTGAAATTATATTTATTTATTGTATTTAGAATTCGAAGGCAGTCAACCGCAGCGAATCTCAACGCGTACGGCCAAAGAGCGCTTGGAGTGGGTGAAGTGCATTCAGTTAGCCTCCTATGCCTATTTAGATCGGCAAATTAAATATTTACAAGATCAAATTGCTCTTAAAATGGGCAATCGCATTGAGAGTGGTGTGTCACCGGCGACCACATTTATATCAGCCACCGATGCATTACTTTTGAATACGGCAACCAATGGTGGAGGCGCTGCTGCATTGACAGTGGCAAAAACAAAAAGTTCAGCATCGATCAAAGTGGAAGAAGGTGATCTTATACAATTTTAAGAAGTTTCAAATTGCCATAGATTTATTTAAAATTTGCGTATTTATGAATATATATATATATAACTTTATTAAATTAATATTTTTAGTTTTTAATTTAAATTTAACAGTTATTTAGCAACATTTAAATATTAACCCCCTATGTATTAATGGTATTTGTTTAAAAGCACGTAGTGTTAATTTTTTACAGAGCAAATTCAGTTAACTTTCGCAATTAATAATTCAGTTCGATTGTTTATTCTTGTGAAGTTTATTTTAACTTCCCCAATTTAATCATAAGCGATATTTTGTAGTAAATTCTGAATACTTTTGAAATTAATAAATTAATTAACTTCATATAGTAAATACTTTTCTTTAGTTAGAATAAAATTTATTTTTCGCTTAGTCTCTTTTTAAGATCTCTATATATAGTTTTATGCGGTAAATTTTCCCTTAACTAGGCAAATATAGTTTTTTCTTGAGATTCGAAAGAGATATATTTGTCGATTCAAACAAGTTTTTCCTATTATCATCTATAAATATCGACAATTTTTTTTAAGAATGCAGGGACTTTTTTATGAGAACTTGTGCATCTGAAATCTCTAGGCATTTGGAATTTTAAAATTTCTGTTATATTGGTTATGGTTTAAATATTAATATTGTATATTTATATATATATATTTTTTTTTGTAAATAGCTTACATAACAACTAATGTGATACCAAAGTTTGCATTTTTTTTATGAATTCTCATTGTATTTACAAAAATATTTCCTTATTAGAAGATAAATGTATGATAATTTTGAACTCAATGAAATAAAGTTAAAACGTTGACAGATAAAATGCATTAATATTCTTTATCTACATAAAATAAAACCCAGTTTTTATAAACCCTAATTCACTGTTTTAATTTCATTACTTAATATCCTCTCTCCATTCATTAATATAAATGACCGAATCATATATAACCCTAACACTCTTTAACATACCTTAATTTTCTGTCATTCTTTCTCCCACTGTCAATTTTCGCTGCGCTTGTGCCCCTTTAGACCTCAGCGAAATACCAATTTGTGAGTCTGCCTTATCCTGTGATAGTATGCCATGTGGCGATCACGGACGACTGCCGAATACACGCGTCGTCTGTTCATTACTTTTACTTGGTAATACATGGCATGATTTTGCGCGTACCGAAGTCGTCGAACGCTCTGCGAATCCGCAATTCTTGTGCACTATGCGATTTAAACGAAGTGATGGCTTCTCAGCAGACACACTGTTACGTTTTACAGTATATGATGTACGCGAACGCTTGTCACACACCGCTGTGCCACTTGCTTACGCTGAAGTGGCTTTAGGTGTCATACAAGTGAGTTACACATTTTCAACTGGTTTTGTTTGATAATGACTTTTGCTTTTACATGCTAAAAAGGATGCTACTCGCTTTCGTATTCCACTGCGTGCGTTGGACGGTGAAGGTGGCTTTATAACGATCGCCTCATGGGCTCCAGAGACAGATCGACAATCACCACCTCGTTCCACTACGCAGGTGTTTGAAGAGCATACGAAAGGTATGCACCGGTGTTTAGTTATTTCCAATTTTATTCATATATTTACTAAATACATATTTGTTCCTTAGGTCATCGACGTTCGCAATCTCTGCCACCTAAATTGGGGGTGAAACTATTTGTACCTTTTCAAGGCCTTCTGCAAGTAGTATTCGCAAATCCTTGGGTAAGTTTGTTATGTTTGTTATGTATGTATAATTTCATTCATATTCTGTTGCAGATTCACACATATCGTTTACACTCAGGTATGGGAGGCGACATCAGTGTCCACGAGACATTGCTCGAAAGCAAATACAGCTTTACAATACCTCAACAATTACTGTAAGAACAATATATTTATTGCGTTATTAAAGTTATTAATATTTGCATTGCATTCAAAGCTCTATATGGATATTGCGAGAAAAGGAATTGTTACAAGAAATCTCCGGTATGGGTGAATTAGGTGGCGAATGGCGACGACGCCAAATGGATCTACTTGATAAACATCTAAAATTGCTGAAAGATTATTCGCAGGCGAAACAAAATCTGCAGCCGATTGCCAAGGAGGAAGGTGAGTTAATAACGCCGACGACTCGATAAAAATTTTACTAGTTCGTTACTGCGCTATGTACATACAGTAATATTAGACTAATTGGAATTATTTGACTTAATCAAACAAATAATTACCGGACGTAATTAGACGTTTATTTTTTTAAAATACGTGATTTTTTTTTTTTTTTTTGTAAGTCCGGGACAAATTTGATTATTGGTATTATAAAATGTTTTTTATACACTACTTAAGTAAAGACAGACATTGAATTTATTATAAGATTCAAAATTCATTTCAATTATTTTTTAAATTCATATAATGTTTTCGCAATTTTTTTTTTAATTGTTAGCTTTTGTTTGACGTATCAATTATCGCAACGAAATTCGCTTCCAACTGTTCGCACAAAGTCACAAAAGACTAACACGCTTGTTTTACAAATTTACAAAAAATAAAAGACTACGATTTTATTTTAATGCGTAACAAAAAATATGGATAGTTACACAACTGATCTGCATTAGATAATGCACTTAACTGCAACAATGTTTTTGTTTATATTATTAGCAGAAAATAACGGGAAAATTTCAATTCTCTTTTCAACAAATGTACTACACATCACGAGTTAGACTCCTGACAATCATGTCAGGCACAGAAATTGTACCACGAGTCAAACTCATGGAAATACGTCGAGGGGTTAATAAAATATACTGTAAATCTCACTAAATCATCTCATACCATAGGTCCGTACTTCAAACGTTCTTCCGTAAAGACTGATGAATCGCTTGAATTTATACCAGTAAACTTGCATTTGCAACGAATGTGGGCACAAAATGACACCTTGAATCGATCTGGTGTTCTGGATATTATAACGGTTGGTGCATTTACACGCCATGCTGGCAAAGGACGTACTGGAGGACTTATAAAGTAAGTTATATTTATTTTTTAAAAACTTGAAACTTTAATCAATTTATATTTAGGAATAATCATAACACTTTAAAAATATTTTATATTCAAGGTTATTACAAGAAACCAAAGATTCACCATCGAAATTCGAACAGGGCAATGCATGCAAAGTGCAAGCCGCCAACGATGCCGTACAGGCTATAAAGCAGTTGCGTAAGGAAATCGTTGAAATAATGTCACAACTACTATCACTTGCTAAGAGTAAAAACCCAAAAGGTATGATGCCTTTGTGCAATGAGATGATTACTAAAACTAAAACCTTACTGAATATATGGGAACCAAGCTTGGTAGAGGAGGCGTTCGCATTTGTTGAACAGCACCGCATCATTGAGGAACCTGACAACGTATTGATGGTAACCTTAGATTATTAAAATTTTATTTATTACAAAATAATAATAAAATTATATTCCTACATAGCCCATGTCACCATTTCGAAAAATCACTCAACAACTCTGCGCTCTAGACTTGAAATCTCCTGAACTGGAAGATTTTGCGACACCTATAGTCGCTCCACCAGACCTTTGGCCTCGCACTAAGACCCCCACAGGTTTCGCCGGCTGTGCTGGTCGCCCATTAGTTCGCTCCAATAGCCTTTGTTTACGGCCGTCACCCTCGACGATGGACATAAATGCCATACATGCACTACATCGCAACGTAAAAAGTTACAACGAACAATTACGCAATCGGGCGGCAATCAAAAATATTAGAACTGGTGTTGAAAGCGATTCAGAAGCGGAAGCTACATTCCAATCTTTACCAGTAAATCTGAATGACAACGCAACCGATATTACTTTTACTGAAAGCCATTTTAGCACTGCAGATGGTTTAAATGCGAACATGGGCAATGATGTTTCAACGCTTCAATTAATTGACCTAGACGATGTTGATATGGAGCAGTTGAATAACGGAAGTCACATTCCCTCTTCGCATACATCTGTGCTAAGCAATTTCGATACAACGCGCATAGATTCTGAGTTGGATGTAGATTACAATGCTACCGCACAACAACATGGCAGTTTTCTCGATACAAGAATTATGAGTTCTTCCCCATCGGCTAATTACTATCGACCCACAGAGGAGCCCGAGCCACTCGATTTAACGCAACTAAACATTGAAGCAAGTGTTATGTGTCTCGTGAGTAAAATTAAGTTTCTCTGTGGACGTTGTGGTAGTCCAGCAATACGTCTGCGACATCCAAAGCCTAATATGAAACGAACGGGATTCCAACACTCTCCCGCACCGCCAGATCTTGTAGCTAGTCAAAATAAGATAACAGAAATCGAAGATAGTGGCATAGTATCAGAAGCTAATGATGAGCAGCAAGTGGTTTCCAATGGTAATGGGCTGAACTTAGACCTCACACATAATGTTGAAGCGCTGGAGCAAAGTAAAGAACATGATCATCCATCTTTGACCAAAATGGAAGGTATCGCGCCACCTAAAAAAGGAAACAAATTCACGGATGGTGAGTACTGATCATATTCATAAAACGTGTGTAACTGATGTCACTCCAATATTTAAAAGTATAAGACATTGTCTTATCGATCTACAAAAAAAAAACACATTAATTTGACTATTTGACCCTTTTTCAGGTCTCGACTTGTCGCTAACCACAGATTGGGCTTCCGAGTTGCGCCCCTCGATGCGAAAATTACGACATGCCATGGATGGGTTGCTGAAAACAGCGCGCCTAATGCATTCCGTACAACGTCTACAGCAGGATATGAAACGCAATAGTATAAATTTAGAAATTATGTATCGGCGTGATGTGTGCTTTTCGCAAGCGGTAAATCCTCTGCCTTCGAATAAAAAGTATTAAGCTTATTAAGTTATTTTTTACATTGCAGTTGACATCTCTCATCGCTGCCCTAATGGCCAAACTATGGGGCACTGAGATAACCGAAAACTTTATCAAGATACTCAGGGATTTAGGACCACTAGCATACTTCGAAGGTTTGCTTTCGTTGTATGGCAACGAAGCGGACATGTGGGGCGATATGTGCATCGCTATTGAGGATCTTTCTGCAGTGAATTTTACCCTAATACGCAGTAATACACAATGGTATGCGATTTTCATATAAAATTAATTCAACACTAAATTTTATTCACTTATTTTCGGTAGCGATGTGCACACGCCGATGCCAATTCCACGAGTCACTGGTTCGAGGCAATCACTCAATGTTTTGCTACCCGTGCCAGAGCATGTGTATGCTGTAATGCCAATACAAGAGACGATCACCTTCAAATTAACACCGGTATTCTTCAATATCGGCATCAATGAAAAAGCAACATTAGCCGAAACATTGGGCCAAACACGTGAACAACACCGTTCGAATTGGGACAATTTTGTGCGTCTGAAACAGTATTATAGTCGCTATCGTAAGTTGCAACTCGTTACGCCAGATACGCCAAGCAAGCATGAACCCCATCCCCCGGCAACGCAAGCACTCAGTAACATACTCAATTTTATGGAGGATCAATTGCGTTCAAATGTATCAAAGAATGTGAAAATTTTGCATTTAGCCGAAGATGCGTGTCGCCTAATGTCTGGCTTGCGTTTTACCTCATGTAAAAGTGCCAAAGACCGTACTGGAATGTCGGTGACGCTGGAACAGTGTCGAGTGCTCGTGCAAGAGTTTAATTTGCCAGCCAAAAGTGTACCCTATGTGCTGAGCACTATGCGCAGGTAAATATAAAATATTTTGGTGATTTCGTTTAATTGAATAAATAGGCATATTTCAATGTTTTTATTTTTTTATTTTTTTATTTTACGTAGCGATGGAACACGTATGGATAATGTCTTTAAAAATATTGATAAGCGCAAATATGCATTCAATTTGCCACAGGTTTTTTCATTACCAGCAATGTATAGACCACCAGCTGGTTCCTACGGCAAGGCGGAGACCTAAATACATAAACAACATTTTAAATGCTTGAGAAAGCAAAAAGTAGTATCAAATTCACTACAATAGGCAGCAAATTGTAATATCAGCATAGATTAGAATTCACATATTTCAGTAAGAGCCTTTATTAACCTCATATGTTGGAATTTGATAGACGTGATAAAAATTTACCAAAAGAAAGGGAGCCTCAAATGAAAAAAATATATATTTAATTGTTAAATTATTATGATAAAATTCATACGCACATTTTTCAATATAATTTAGTTTTAAGATAAGTGAAATTAAGTTTATTGGTATGAAAGCATATTAGGTTTAACTTACTACTTTTTGTCTCAAGAAATAAGTATTGTTTGTAATTAATACTTTTAAAATGGTTTCTATAATTTTTATAACAAAAGTATAAAAACTGTAAAATGTCGTCTTGATTGGTGATATTCTCATCGGCTTGTTAATTCTTTACGTTATTCGTTAACCGATAACGGGATATATTCACGTCACCAATCTGGCAAGCTTAAAGGCTGTAAGTTGGCGCGTCAATCAGCTGTTCGAAATTATTTTAATTTGCAATTTACTTTCATCGTGGAATTTAAGAATATTTATTTTAACAAAGTCTTACCTTCAAGTGAAGAAAAAAAAATTGCTGTTGGAATAGAGTTATAAGACTTAGTCTTTAAAAAGTGCTTTTACTACTTTAACTAATAATTTCAACTTTTATTAAGGCGCTGATGCGGTAACGTGAAGTGAATGCTTATAAAAATTATCTTAAAATCAATTATAAATGAAAATGTTTTAAACGGTTAAGCAGTAAAAAATCTAAGAATCTCAATAATGCTTGTTGCTCGTCGTACTTAATTTTATTCCTTCACTAGTGACACACAATTTAATCAAATGTGCTAAATAATTTGGCAAAATTTAAAATTTCTTGTTTTGAGACTATTTTTGCAAGTTTTTACACTAATACAGTAAATTTGTTGCGAAAAAATTGAAGTTATATAAATATTTCGGCAAGCCCTTTTTGTGCCAATTAAATCTCTTTTTAACACTATTCTATGAATATGCGCTTTTATCACCCATATAGAAAGGAAGAATTTATTACAAACCACAATTGTGCCAAATATTTATTATCGAGAATGAATGTAATATGTATTATCTCTTTTTTAAAATTAGTATTATAGTGACGAAAACGCTTTAGTTACGAAACGAGAAATACACATCAGACTCTAAAAAATGTAAGTTGCGATAATCGGTTTTTATCAAATTTCTATTAATGTTTAATGTATTTTAAGAAGTTTATTTGTTGACAATTTCATGCAAACGTTAAAAAATTCATAAATATTTATTAATAGTAATTACACAAGAGATAATAAATTGTGCCGCATGCTATAAGGAAAACGGTTGTATGAGACATAACGGCCCTTAGTTTTTATGTAACAAAAATATTAAATTAAGTTGGTTGAAGTACTTGTATTTATAGTGACCACACAATAAAAATTCACTGGTAACGTTTAATAAGGATATTACATTTTTTTCTTAATCAGCAACATTTATTTATTTTCTGTCTGTCAAGTGTACATGACTAAATCTACGTTTATATATATATGTATATATACATGTACATGTAAAATTACGGAATATATAGTGAAAAATTTTAAATTTGAGTTAAAACATCTATTTAAGTAAAGTTGGTTGGCCAGGCATTCGTTTTTTATTAAAATAAACGATTTTATTAATTTTGTTATTATTATCGGGAGAACACTGTACGCGGTTTGATCTGCAAAATTTATACGTAAATCTGAGCCAAAACACCAGGCGCCCAGAAGAGCACAGCAAGCAACCCGCCGTCTCCGCTCATTCACAATAGAGATTTGAGGAGGTTGGGTTGCGTTTACACCAAGCACATCTTATTTAATTAGTTTGAACTTAAAAACAAAAAAAATTCAATTATTGAGATTTTATTAAGTACTTTTAATTTATAAAATAGTAAATTTGTCAATTAATCATACTCAATAACTGATTTTTTTTGTTTTTAAGTTCAAACCAAATAAATAAGATGCGCTTGGTGTGAACGCTCCATAACCTTACCAATTCTCTATTGTGAATGAGCGGAGACGGCGGGTTGCTTTCTGTGCTGTTCTGGGCGCCTGGTGTTTTGGCTCAGATTTACGTATAAATTTTGCAGATCAAACCGCGTACAGTGTTCTCCCGATAATAAAAACAAAATCGTTCATTTTAATAAAAAACGAATGCCTAGCCAACCAACTTTACTTAAATAGATGTTTTAAATTAAATTCAAAAATTTTCACTATATTTTTCGTAATTGCTTACACATGTTATACGTATTTTCTTTTTGCAATTTATTTTATACACTTAATTATAGTCGTTAATGCGCCCGATTCCGAGTCGTCGCTTTCGTATTTCTGTCTTGAGCCAAGACGGCACACCCCGTATTGGATGCGCATTTGGGAAGCGCAGAGGCTCTTCAGGACCTTCAAATGGATGCGTCGTTGCCAATTTACGTTCCAGGAATTCTTGATTGATCTCTTTAGGATCACGATAACGGTCCAAATACAAATTGAACGCCTGCTTCAGCGGGAAGAATTTCTGATCAGCTACGTATGGTTTGGTGAAGTCATATTCGAACACTGGCTCATTAATTTCTTTGAAAAAAAAAATTAATTTAGAATGTCATTCTTGAAACTGTAATTCAAACATACTTAACACATTGTGATAGAAGTTCGTAATTGAACTATCCCAATCGCTTTGGAAAAATGCAAGCCCCGCTGGTGTTATATGATCCTGTTGATCACGATAGAAATCCAGTGTTTTGAATGTACGCTTTTCTAGATTATTCGTCTCATTCTGCGCGAGCTTATATTGACTGAAATCCAGTTTGCCATTTTGTTTGTATAAAACAAAGACCATGCGTTGATAGCCAACACCTTTTGGTGGAAAAGGCGGCAAATATTCGACCAACACTTCGCCCTTCTTAACGTCACCATTGGGAATATTTGAGCTATATTAAAGAATACGCATATATAATGAATAAATTAATAAGGGTAAAAAAGGATGATCAAAAGCTTACATAAACCAATGCACATATTCAGAAGAACTATCCGTAAAATGCGCATCAGGATTCGTTGCGACTAACGTCCAATAACTATCTTTTGTAGATTTCTGAAATATAAAATATCGAGTGTTACTTCAGAACCAATATATGTAAGAAATATATATTCAGATATTGTCACCAAATTAATTTCATACCTTCCCAGTTATAGGATCGATCGTGCCATCAAAGCTGACCTCTGGTGCATTTGCCGCTTCCGCAGGTTTGATGACGTTTCCATTATAAACACAGCTTAAATTACCGCCGTCAAGTGGATACTATAAAAGCAAAATAGTTTACCAACGAACTCATTTTCTACTTTATACTAGATACCTGAATATTCAGTGCCACACGAGGTACAAAATATGCCAAACCAAATAGATCATCGAAAATCCCATAGTGGTCAGCAATTACACGTATATCATATTGACCCGTGGTGGCTCGATACTCGCGGTTTACATCATCCAAATCAATTAACACTGAAATAAAGAATTTTATTATTAAATATTACGATATGGCTTTGATATATTATTACATTTATTAGCTCGAGCTAATTTTTCCACTTCTTCACTAGAACGTTGGGCTTTCAAGTGTGCTAGTCGCTGCTTCAATTGTTCCGAGCGCGACGATTTTAAATGTGGGAATCCAATGTTTACACGTGCAGTTAATTCTGGGTCTTTGACATTTTCTTCTAAAATATAGAAAAAATCACCATTCACTAATCATGATAATACGTAACATTCTCCAATATACGGTACTAGCACGCCGTTATGATCACCCACCCTGCAAACGTTGTTCTAATGATTTTGCAACACCTGGCCGTTTGCCACGTATAGTGTGTCCTAATCTCGCTGAAATTAACAGCGCATTGTTATTCCGTATAACTGTAGTTAAACTGCTTTTCACTAACAAATTAGTTAATGCCATTTTTTACAATACGGGAAAAGAATAACACAACCTCAGATTCACCAATAACGGACTACAAGCAGCTGATTGTATGTTCACAATAGGACACAGTTATTAGAAATCACAATAAAGCATATGGCTTGTTAGGCTATATTTACACCCAAAAACATAGTTATTAAGTGCAATAACTTAATATATTTAATTAAAAATGTGGATTATAAATAATTTGGAGGGTTATGTATAAAAAATTTTGAAAAAATTTAAGAAACTATTTTTCTGCTCTCCTAATTTAAATATTTTGTTAAAGGTTTGATTAGTAAAGAAATGATCCCCAAAGTTCATTGTTGTTATGGTTTCAGAAAACATTTATGGTGGTTACTTCTTTTACGGTAGTTTTTAATATTTTTGCATGGAGAATATTTCAAAAATATATTGCTTTACTGTAAATGTGCACTAATAGGGTCCAATAAGTTCATCGCATCTCGCGTTTGATCTACAAATATATGCAAGTGTACAATATTAATTAGGTTATTCCGCGCCCCTTGAACTACATACATATGTATGTAAAGCAGAAGGCATCCCATCTTCGAATTTGCACTTCTATTCGAGAATAACGACTATTTTACTTTCCAAAAGAAATACTTACGACACGACCCGGATATACCGGACAAAATTAAGATTCCCTAAGGCCTCAGAAAGTTAAGTCATTGATTTATTAAACAGAATTAGTAACAAAGCTTTTTTCGAGTCTTCTGCTGTAATGTAATCAATTCTGGTTTAAATCTTCCTCTCCAAAAGAATACAGCATTTTTCCACCCGCGGTGAAATTCTTTATCCTCAGTCCATAATTTAAAATTGCGTCATAGATTCTAAACTCTTACCTATACGTACCTAACCTGGAAATAGCCGCACAAAATAACATATCATACTCTCGAAGTCGATACAAATGCTCTTTAAAGTGTAAAATATATATAGATATGTAAATAAGAGTTTAAAATTTAAACTTAGTATAGTTGCTTGTTTTAGTATTTTCTTAATAAAGAGTTTTCTAGTTACATCACATACCGATCTTGACTAATAAAATATGTAAGTGTAGTAAAACGAAACACTGTAAGCATATACATATATATATATGTACATATGTCTGTATTATACAACATTACAAAAAGTTTTCTGTGCGCTTCCAGTATTCGTTTACGAAAAATCAATAACTACAGCGGCGAATCCATTCCCAAAAAAAAAAATATCATTGATCCTGTAAAACTGAAAAAAGCCGGGAAATCATATGACCATAAATTATTACATGAGTAAACACAACCCTTTGTAATGCATGGAGTCAGTTATTTTTAATGCAAAAATATACAAGAAAACCGGCGCACATTTTTTCCACTCATGCGCACAATATGCCGGCCCAACCCGGCACATACAGCGTTTAGTGCACCTCACCGGTCGCCATGTGGCCCAGCCCAAAGCAGTGAACCTGGCCGTTGCCAACGCATACACATGCAACTAGCAGACCGATGCATACATACACACCTATATAAATTCATACATAGATACATGCATATGCATTCATACATAGAACACAATGCGATGTTGCCACACTTCATATGGCTGGCAAGTGTAAGTGAAAATTCGAACACGACAAATACATACATATGTATATTGGGGTTGGAACTTGTGTGCAAGCGCAGAATGTGATTCAAAAGGCAATTCAACAAAAAAAACAAGGCTGGTGAACTGTGTTGATACCCTTACAAAGATATGCCCGCATATAATTTTTTATACTCTCGCAACAAAGTTCCTAAAGAGAGTATTATAGTTTTGTTCACATAACGGTTGTTTGTAAGTCCTAAAACTAAAAGAGTCAGA